ATTGAAAAAAGAACATCACTAAATCAGTAAACACAGCTGAACTCAGCTTTAGGCCAATTATTCTAGTTTTATTCCAAGTTTTGAATAAGCTATCAACAAATAACTATAAAGATATTATTTTCTATTTTAGGCAGTTTAAACTGTTTTCATGGTTTCCCATATGAAAAAACCTACGATACTTGGGGATACCAAAGGGTCATTCCATGTCAAGTGGTCTGATTTCAGAAAAGTGCCCATCACGGATTTCGATGAAATTTTGTGTGAACATGCACACATGTCCCCAATGAACATTGGTAGTGTTACGTTTGCCGATCCAATACTTGCAGAGATATAGTCATTTGTTTGACCCCCCACCACAGCCTTCTACAGTATGACTCTGGGGTTTCAGCAACTTTTGAGACATAATATCTCCGGCAATATTTTATTGAGAGAAACAAAACTTGGCCATCTTGTAAAACTTAGTAGGTCTATATAAAACAAACAAGACAAAACAATAATAGAATGCATGTGATGTTGCCATACAACGTCCTCAACTTTGTCCCTATTTTAGGGCTTTATACGTCAGCGATGAAAAACAAACCCTACTTTTTTAGGGGGGTTGAAACATGCTCTTTCTAATGAGAATGATTTCATAGAGTTTCCAGAAGGTCTTTTTTTGTAAAAGCAGGCTGAAAATACCCTATTTTTGGCATTTTTACAAAAAACATCAACTATACACTCAATTTGTGAACTATTGGAAAGCAGTAGGAGAATGAAATTTTATATTTAAGACTTCTTGTGGTGACATCACTTTGGAGCGGGCAAAGGAATGGTGGCTCCACTAGCTTTTCTCGAGTTTCTGCGGTGAAGATCCTGAAAAAGGATGAAGTTGAACCTGGAGGGATCAACAGGAGAGAGGGGGAGGTCGGATGACGGAGAGGAGGCAAGCAACTTTCCTACCGGACAAGAGAAGCCCCTTGGAATCACCAATCAGCGTCCATGGCCAATCCTGAGTGGTGACAGCCACATATGAGGAAGAGAAGATAGCAACACAGTAGCATTGGTGAGAACATTTAAAACAACTAAAACGGTATAAACTTTATTAAAAACTCTTTGAGCTAGAATTTCAAAGCTTTGAATTGAGCTGGATACAGCTCAATATTGGGCTGCTATAAGGAGGGAGAAAAAGCACACAATTTCCTGTAGCAATAGAACGACTTGGAGTGACTTGAGAACAGAAAGGAATAAGGAGTGGAGGAGAGGACTGTTGGAGCGATTTGGACAATAAACAGAAATTGGAGCCAGACAAGACAGTGACAACAATGAAGACGGGGAGATAATTATTTTGGATTACTTGAGAGAAAGATGGGTGTAGAAAAGTAAAGATCAGACTTTTGACCAGGAAAAAAAAAAGCCTATATGAAAGAAGAATAACATCGCCATCTAGTGGAGAGAGAAATAAGAACTGAGTAACAAAACTGGATAAACTGATGCAATCTGCTGAAAAATTGATTAGAGCAATTTTGTGGTCTCTGAAATCGGATTAAAAAAAATTGAAGGAGAACATTGAAAGAAGAAATATAAATATAAACTGAATTGTGGTGAGATGAAATATTGATGAATTGTATTGAACCATATTGTATTTGGAAAAGAGAATGTAGATGATATATGAACTATTGGTGATACTTTGAAATTATTAACGTTATAAATAGATGATATAATATTATATAATAATTAAAATTAAGGATTTATTAGTCTAAATATATTGCATATTTTGATAATATAAAGGAAAAACTAGTGACATAGTGTTTAGGTGGGGGTGATAGTTTGTAGCTATCAAAGAGACAATATAAGATTATATATGAATCAAATCAAGAACGTGTTAGGTTAAATATATTGAATATTGCATGAATATTGTGTGGATTGACTTGCATACAAACTCAAATATATATAAATTAAGTGGTTAGATTGTAAGATTGAATTGTATTGAATTGAATTAAACTGTGCATGGAAGAGGGAAAGTCCAAAGATTGAAGGGGCTGGTAAGAGGGTGGAAATAAGTACTGGGAGGAGAGAAGCATACGTTATTGTGGGGAAAAATTGTAAGGAAATTAAAATAAAAAATGACAAGTACAACAACAACAATTAGTAAAATGAACAGGAAGGCAGCATCCAACCCGGCATCAGCAACATCCTCACCCTCAAATCAGCGCACAATTGAGAGCACACTGGGTATAGAGAGAGAGAGCTCAACAACGAACGTTCAGTGTATGCAAGATGCATTAGCAATGATACAAGAAACAATGTTGAAAACACAAGAAACAAGTACAAAAAAACACAAAGAAACTAGAAAAAAACATGAAGAAATTAAAATAGAAATGGGAGAAATGAAAAGTGAGATTAGAAGAATAATGATAAAATAGGGAAAATACGAAGTGAAATAACAAAAAAATGAACAAAAAATTCAAAAAGTAGAAACAAAGGTAGAAAAAACGGAGGAGAGAATGGAGATGGTAGATGAGAAGCTGATCACACTAAACAGAGAGTTGGGGGGGGACTCTTTAGAAATGGAAAAAGATGGCTTCTTTCTGTGTTTTCAAAATATAGTAGAAGAAAAGGAGGAGGATTTAGGGGAAACAATTACAGAGATTGTAGCGAACATATTACAAAAAAATAAACAAGAAATGAGAAGGGATATAGACAAGGTGTACCAAATCCACGCAAATTACGCCAGGAGACACATGCTCCCAAAATAAATCCACGTACGCTTTACTAGAAAATCAGTAAGAGATGAAGTATATAAGAAAGTGAGAGAAGAACAAATAACATATAAAGGAAAAAAGATACAAATTCTGAGACAAATCCCAAAAATAGTGAGAGACCAGAGAAGGCAATATCAGTTCCTTACACAACAATTAATAAGGTACAACGTAATGTTTAGATGGCTTACACCAGAGGGAGTGATGATTACCTGGCAGGAAAAAAGATAAAATAGACACAGTTGAGAATGCGCATGAGTTCTTTGAACACCACTTCACCGTCGAGGAAAAACAAGAGAGTAGAGAGGAGCCAGAGAGTAGAAGCCAAGAAGAACAGTCAGTTGAAAATAGGGAAGGAGAAAGAGAAGAAAGAAGAAAACAGGAAAGAGAACAAATAGAACAAGAGGGTAGTAGATAGAATAGGAATAGAGACAAGAAATGCAAGGAATTTAATTAATTTAATTTAATTTATTAGATTTATAGGCCGCCCAATCCCGAAGGACTCCGGGAAACTAAGGGCGGCACACAAGTAACACAATGGAACAAGAAATTAAGCTATTCTCACTAAATATAAATGGACTAAACTCACCGGAAAAGAGAAGGAAAATTTTGACTAGATTATAAAAAATGAATATGGACAGAGTGTGCCTTCAAGAGGTACATATCAAAAGCCAATATAACAAGCTACTAGAATATCCAAAATTAGAAAAATTATTTACAACACTAGCACAACCAAAAAAAAGAGGAATTGCAATATACATTAAAGAATGGATAAATGCAAAAAAAATGCAGATGAAGAGGGGAGGATGTTAATGATAGAAATAGAAACAGAACAAAGAAAGTTTATATTCAAAAACCTTGTGTTGCTAAGTTATTAAGCACAAAGTTTCACATTTCGCATAACTTTCCTTCCAGAGATATAAAAAGCAAAACTTTAACCTTTTGTCAAGCCGCAGTCATTTTCAGCCAACTTTGCTCCAACTTATCTAGATGGAGATCGTTCATGAGAATGTTTTTATTATTTTATTTAATAGAGCACAAAAAGTTGTACAAGATGGCCAGGTTTTGTTTCTCTCAACAAAACATTGCTGGAGATATTATGTCTCAAAGTTGCTGAAACTTAGGAGCCTGGGGAAGGCGAAAATGGCCTCCCCCGACTTGCCACCCCGAGGCCCTCCGGAGGCCAGAAACAGCCCATTTTCTGACTTCTAGTAGGCCCGTTTTTCGCCCTCCCCAGGCTTCAGAGGCTTTCTAGGAGCCTGGGGAAGGTGAAAATGGCCTCCACTGCCCCCAAAGCGTTTGCCCAATGCACAAACCAGAAGTCTGTTCTCAAACTTTCAGTTTGCATGTTGGGCGGTTTTTCGCCCTCCGGAGGGTGAAAAACAGCCTAACGCGCAAACCGGAAGTCTGTTCCCGAACTTCCAGTTTGCGTGTTGGGTGGTTTTTCACACTCCGGAGGCTTCAGGAAAGCCTCCGGAAGGCGAAAAACAGCTGAAAATCAAGGCCGAAAAATCAGCTGGCCAGCACGCGCATGCTGGAGCTGACAGGGCAACGCCTTGCATGCCCTCAGAAATGGCTCCACGTACCACTTGTGGCACGCATGCCATAGGTTCGCCATCACAGCCTTATGGTATTCATAAATCAAGTTATTTTTGAGCACCTAACTACTGTTGTTTATCTAAAGGTTTATCAAAAGTATGTCTATCTCCATTAAAAAAGGTCTAGTAAAATAATTCTGATAAAACTATCAAAGCAAAACTATATGGAACTACAACTAAATCCACTGGGACCTGTCCATTTTGTTACTAGCATAAAGCTGAGAGAACAGAACACCATGAAGGCTGATAAAATCTGAAACTTTAATACTGTATACTTAAGTGGTGTAATATTAAATGTACTTCATTTTCTTTGCTAAAAAAGAAAGTACTTTGCAACACTGAATTGTACATATTTAGTAAGCCCATTCTGGCACCTTTTCCAGTTTTAATTTTATAAAAATTGAAAACCTACAATGGCCCAGGAGTATGAGACTCCAACTCCAGTCTCACTAGCATGAGGATACTACTTTGTAATAGCAGGTGTAAATAACATACACCTAGGGACAAATCACGGTGGGAAAGGCTACCGTAAAGAATCATGGAACAGAGGAATATAAAATATTTTCTGTTTTGAGGGACAATAACAAAGATTCTGGGACATTAGCCCCTTCAGTTATGTTTGTACTTGAGAGGCAGTTCTGATTTAAGTACAAAGACCAAATACCTGGAAACAGGACTACGGCTCAGAGACCGCTTGGAAACAAAAGGACTGCTGGAGCTCCTTCGATTGAATGGGCTGTGGGATCTTCCGCTATATGAACCACTTCCCCTTTCAAAGCTGGATGAACGCCTCCTGCTGTATGGGCTGACTGACAGCTGTCTCCTGCCATAAGGGCTGGGAGAACATATATTGGATTGGTAGGCAGGTTCCTTATATGGAGGACTGACTGATGGTCGTCGTGAGGATACA